GAAACCTTACCCGAGGGGCCCATTTATGATATTTTCACTAATTTCACTCTTCTTTTAAAATAAGCCTCTATTGAAAAATTTGCTAAGTATATAATTTCAAGTATTCTAACTGAAACTGAAGATTTTTATGACAAAATTGGTTTTAACTGTGGAGTTTGATATGTTATTCTGTTATTTATTCCTTTATATGATTTTTAACTGCTCATCACTGCTTTCAGACCTTATTTACTTTAGTTACTTACTGAGTTGGCGTACTCACGGTACTCCCTGCACCTTGTGTGCAGATCCAGGTGCCCGAGCGGCAGAGTGAGGGTCATCAGCTTATCTAGAGTTTGTCGGAGATTTCAAGGTAGTTGTATGGCGTCCGCAACCCTGCTTTCCTCCTTCCTATCTTGTTCTTTTCTGCATTTTTAGATTTATGATGTATTAGACAGTTGGTTATGTATTTAGAGGCTCTAGACTTGTGACACGAGATGTTTGGGCTGTGTTGTCTTATGTTTTATTGATTTCCGCATATTTTTAGTTGTTTAATCACTTCTTATGAAAAATTGGTATTTAAACTTGTGTTAGAAAAGGATTTATTAAAAGAAAAAGGGTTATGATCGATGTTTGGGTTGGCTTTCCTAGTAATGTGGCAGGCGCCATCACGACTGAGTATTTGGGGTCGTGACAAGTTGGTATTAGATCCTAGGTTATATAGGTCTCACGAGTCATGAGCCGGTTTAGTAGAGTTTCGCAGATCGATACGGAGACATCTGTACTTATCCTCGGGAGGCTACATAACCTTTAGGAAAAACATCATATTCTTGAAACTCGTATCGTGCGAGTCTGTTGACCTGAGTACTAAACTTCTGTTATTCCATTCTCCCACAGATGGTGAGGACACGTGTTACCGGGCAGGATGGATGACCACCAGTACCACTAGCTGGGGCCACTAGAGGCCGAGGATGGGGTCGAGGCTGTGGTAGGGGTAGAGGAACTAGTTCAGCACCTACAGATCTACCAGCTGCCCCAGTTGTGGAGGCTACAACAACATCAGCTCAGGCATAAGCTGTGCCTATTGTGATTCCAGACCTTCAGGAGGCTTTAGCTCAGATTTCATTAGTGTGTACCGGTTTGGCCTAGGTGGTCTTAGTTACTACGACCGTGGCTACTTTTCAAGCCGAGGGAGGCACCTAGACTCCCGTTTATCGCACACCTGAGCAGGTTGTGCAGGGACTTCAAACACCGGGGGCAACTCCAGCCCAGCCGGTTATACTAGCTCAAGATTATGTGGTACCAGTTATGCCGGATGACAAGCAACATCGACTAGAGAGGTTTGGCAGACTTCAGCCTCTAACTTTCAGTGGTGCAGAGGGCGAGGATGCCCAGGGTTTCTTGAATAAGTGCTAGAGGATGCTTCATACAGTGGGTATTCTAGAGACCAGTGGTGTAGCATTCACTACCTTTCAGTTTTCTAGGGCTGCCTTCACTTGGTGGGAGGCTTATGAGAGGCGTAGGGCTGTTGGTGCAGTACCCCTTACCTGGCAGCAATTCTTTGTTCTCTTTCTAGAGAAGTATGTACCACAGTCTCGCCGAGAGGAGCTGCGCAGGCACTTCGAGCAGTTGCATTAGGAGAGATGACGGTGACGCAGTATGAGATGTTGTACTCTGAGTTAGATCGTCATGCGGTCTGGTTGGTTCCCACAGATCGAGAGAGGATCAAGAGATTTGTTGATGGCATCACATATCAGCTTTGAATTCTCATTACTAGGGAGAGGGTGACAGGTGCTACTTTCGAGGAGGTTGTTTACATCGTCCATGAGATTGAGTTGGTTCATCACCAAGAGTGCAAGGAAAGAGAGGCCAAGAAGCCTTGGGGATCTGGTAGCTTTAGTAGTGCTCCTTCGAGGGGTCAGTTCTAGCAGGGCAGAGGTCGTCCATTCAGGCAGGCTTAGTCAGCTCGCCCAGGTTATTGCTCAGCATGGTAGATTTTGATGTTATCTTGGGCATGGACCGGTTGTCGCCCTATTATGCCATTCTTGATTGTCACGCTAAGAATGTGATGCTGGCTATGCCAGGATTACTGCGATTAGAGTGGAGGGGTGCCTTAGATTACACTCCCAGTAGGGTTATTTCATTTCTTAAAGCTCAGCGAATGGTTGAGAAGGGGTGTGATGCGTATCTAGCTTTTGTGATAGATGTCAGTATTGATACCCCTATAGTTGATTCAGTCCCAGTAGTGAGGGATTTCCCTAATGTGTTTCGAACTGATCTTCCAGGCATGCCGCCCGATAGAGATATTGATTTTGACATTAATTTGTTGCTGGGCACTTAGCCTATCTCTATTCCTCCTTATCATATGGCCCCTCCTAAGATGAAGAAGTTGAAGGAACAGTTATAGTAATTGCTTGATAAGGGCTTCTTTCGGCCCAATGTATCGCCTTGGGGTGCTCCAGTCTTGTTTGTGAAGAAAAAGGATGGTTACATGCGCATATGCATTGATTATCTCTAGTTGAACAAAGTTACAGTGAAGAACCGGTATCCTTTGCCTCATATTGATGACCTATTTGACCAGTTATAGGGTTCCCGAGTGTTTTCCAAGATTGACTTACGTTCAGGTTATCATCAATTGAAGTTTTGGGAGCCAGACATCTTGAAGACTGCTTTCAGGACTCGGTATGGTCATTACGAGTTCCTTGTTATGTCATTTTGGCTGACCAATGCCCCAACAACATTTAGGCATTTGATGCACAGTGTATTCCGGTCTTATCTTGATTCGTTCATCATTTTCTTTATTGATGACATTCTGGTATATTCCTGGAGTCGAGAAGATCATGAGCAGCATCTGAGGACTGCGCTTTAGACCTTGAGAGAAAAGAAATTATATGCAAAGTTCTCAAAATGTGAGTTCTGATTAGATTCCGTAGCATTCTTAGGTCATGTGGTATCAAGTAAAGGGATCAAACTGGATCCGAAGAAAGTGGAAGCAGTGTAGAGTTGGCCCAGACCATCCTCAGCTACGGAGATCCGGAGTTTCCTTGGTTTGGTAGGGTATTACCGTCGATTTGTTAAGAGATTTCATCTATTGCAACACCCATGACCAGGCTGACCCAGAAGGGTGCTCCGTTTAGGTGGACAGAAGAGTGTGAGGAGAGCTTTCAAAATATTAAGACAGCTTTAACTACAGCCCTAGTATTGGTATTGCCTTCAGGTTCGGGGTCTTATACAGTTTATTGTGATGCGTCATGAGTTGGCCTCGGTGCGGTGTTTATGTAGGACCATAGGGTGATTGCCTACGCTTCCAGACAACTAAAGGTGCATTGAAAAGAACTATCCTATCCACGACCTTGAGTTAGCTGCTATTGTTCATGCCTTGAAGATTTGGAGGCACTATTTGTACGGTGTCCCTTGTGAGATCTACACTGCTCACCGAAGTTTGAAGTATATGTTCAAGCAAATGGATCTTAATTTGCATCAGAAGAAGTGGTTAGAGCTACTTAAGGATTATGATATCAGCATTTTGTACCACCCGGGGAAGGCCAATGCGGTGGCCGATTCTTTGAGTCACCGAGCAGAGAGTTTGGGGAGTTTAGCTTATCTACCAGCAGTAGAGAGGCCCATGGCGTTGGATGTTCAGGCTTTAGCCAGCCAGTTTGTGAGATTGGATATTTCTGAGCCTAGTCGATTATTGACTTGTGTGGTCTCTCGGTCTTCTCTTTATGATCATTTCAGGGAACGTCAGTATGATTACCCCTATCTGCTTTTCCTTAGGGACACGGTCCAGCACGGTGATGCCAAAGAGGTCACTATTGGGGGATAATGGTGCATTACGGATGCAGGGCAGGTTATATGTGCCTAATGTTGATGGTTTGCGTGAGTTGATTCTTCAGGAGGCTCACAACTCGCGGTACTCTATTCATCCGGGTGCCACGAAAATGTATCAGGACTTGAGACAGCATTGTTAGTGGCGTAGAATGAAGAAGGACATAGTGGAGTATGTTTCTCGGTGTCTAAATTGCTAGCAGGTAAAGTATGAGCATCAACGACCGGGTGGGTTGCTTCAGAAGTTAGAGATTATGGAGTGGAAATGGGAGCGGATCACTATGGATTTCATTGTTGGACTCCCACAGACTCATCAGAAGTGTGATGCAATTTGTGTGATTGTGGATAGACTGACCAAGTCGGCTCATTTCCTTCCTATGATGACTACCTATTATTTCAAGCAGCTGGCTCGAGTTTATATCCGTGAGATTGTGAGACTTCATGGCGTGCCTGTATCTATCATTTCTGACCGGGGTACACAGTTTACATCACGGTTCTAGAGAGTCGTACAACATGAGATGGGTACTCGGGTGGAGTTGAGCACAACATTTCACCCTCAGACGGACGGGCAGTCCGAGCGCATTATTCAGATTCTTGAGGATATCACTACAACATAATATATCTATAACTATGAAGTCTCTGCTACAGATTCAAAAATCATGGTTAATACCTAACAATAGCCACAAAAATAAAAACATCATAGCTATTTATAAAATACTAAAATTTCATAGCTACGAAAATTAAATTGGCAAAGCTAATTTCTTAGTTTTGTTATGATTGCTAACTATCGTAGCAATAATTACCTAAATAGCTACAAAATTGTTGGCACGACAAAATTTTGTAGCTAATCACAAGCTTTTTGCCACACGTTTAAAGTTCTGTAGAAATAATAACCTTTTAGCCACAATAAATTATTCAAACCAAAATATTATAGCTAAATAAATATTTTTTTCTTCAATTGATAAAAGACCGTGGCAATAATTGGCTTAACAACTCCAATTAATTATCATGGCGAAATGACATAGTCACATATTTATTGCTATGATAAAATATCATAGCTAAACATATGTTTTTGCCGCAAGTTGAAGCTTACTTTAGCAAAAGTTACCATTTTGCCCCAGATAAACTATTTGAAATAAAATATTGTAACTATAAAATTCTGAAATAAAAATTTAGTATGGCCTTATACCTTATTTGGATACTCCTTTGTGGGTGCAAATATATAGAAAGTTAAAAGGTAAAGTTACAAATAAAAAGGATAAACGAAAAAAAGAAGAAAAATATTACGCCTCTCTCAATTCCTTAAACCTACAAAATTCAGACTCCAAACCCTTTTCCCCCAAAACTATACGCTCCATCTCCCCCAATCCTTGCCCACTCTAACCAACCATCCCTTGAACCCTTGTCCCTCCTGCTCTTGAAAAACATAATCGCCAAGGTATGATCACCATAGTCTTTGTTTTTTTAATTTTCTTAATTTCGATTGTTCCCATTTCTTTCCTAGGATTCTTGATCGAAATTAGTTCTTTTCAGTTTCATCATTATAGTGTGGCTGTGAAATGGAAATCCCTTCTTTATTTATATTGATAAGTGCCAAGAATTTAAAAGATTGCCAAATTCAAAGCAATGAATTAGGAATCTCTCCAATTATTATAAATGGAGGGGTTTTTTCATATATTTAAATTCCTATATTTGTCTTTTGTAATCTATTTAAATTACTTTGTTGTATGAAACGAGAATTAGTAGTTCAATCTTGATTTCTCTAGTACTAAGCCTGAACAAGCTTTTTTCCCTATAATTTCTTGTATATTGTTTATTCTTCATTGCCTCCATTTGCAGATTGGGAATCTTAAATGGCTTTTTGGGTGGTGCTTATGGTGGCAAAATGGATAACCAATGAGTAACCAATGGATAATCAATGGATCTAACTTTTACATTTGTAAAGCCTCAAATTGGGGTTCCTCAAGTTAGAGAGACTAAGAATTCTCCCAAAAGTGATCATATACAATAAGTCATAGATAATATGAGTAACCCATATTATACGCGGTTAACCCATTTTTTATCCGTATTAAATATGGGTCGGGTCGAATAATTAATCCGTTTTTTTCATTACCCATTTTTAACCCGAACCATATCCAATCCGGCCGGCCCGTTTGCCACACCTAGTGGTTCCCAATTTATAGTTATATGCACACAAAAAAACTATACTAACAAATTTTCTCTATTGGATTAAGTACTGTTCACAGTTGTGGTTGTTAATATCTGTGTGAATATTTGCAGGGAGCAAATGAGTTGGGGAGGCACAATTTTCCCCCAAATTTGATGATCAGTTTAGTGGATATAGGGTGAGTATTTGCATTCATTTGATGTTCAACTTACTAAATAAATAGTCATGGGAATGCATCTTTGCTTTCTATATATTTTTTGTTCTTCTTGTGGCTGCTAGCAATGAAGGAAGCATGCAAATAGGTGAAGAAGAGTTTGTTGTTAAGATATTACCATTCCTTTATTTCTAAAACTTCTATGCAACAATTAGGATAAAGTTATAACTCCTAAACACTTCTAGACGCTATCCAATGCATTTACTGAGATGGTGGATTTTTTTTCAAATTTACAGTATAAATATTCCAACAACTTATAAGGGTAAAATTATGATATGCATTAGCACAATCATATATAAGCATATGTTCCAAATTTATGTTGCGGTATGGTGATGAGTTCATTCTGTTTAAGTAAACCTGAATTTATTTTTTCAGGCACTTGTGTTATGGGTATCAATGTAGAAACAAACAAGTGTAGTAACCATAAGGTATGTATGATACTTTACTCTTTCTCAAAACAAATTCAATTGGATATACTACTTAGTGAAGGATGGAGTGTTTACAAACTTCTTATTAAAATCTGTAGGACTTCTAAAATTTTATTGAGAATAATAATATTTTACTCTAGGACTGTTTTTGTTATGGAACGGGTGTGATGTTGAACTGGTTTAGCTTGTGATCTTTTCTTTAGTCAAGAAATATGAGAATATAATTTTTTGGCAGTTACAAAATTAAGGATTTACAAAACTTCAGACTTGGAAACACCTCGTTATCAGATACTAAGAAGAATGCAGCTTATGAGGTTAGTAGTATTTTCTTATAGTGTTATGTTTCAAACTAAGAGATGCTAAATAAGGCTTATGTTTTGAATGGTTTGCGGTTTTTTGGTACATACATTGCATTAATAATCTTAAGGTTTTAAAGAAGCATGTTGTTGTTTCTGGCAGAATCTTACCCTGCCAAAGGAACTGTTGTTCAGGTTAAACGTGATTGACAAGTCCCAACTAGTTAATGTACTAAAATTATGGTATGGGTGTCATTTTTGTATATACAGGTTAGAGTCTATGACTCGTTCATATATAATTGTAGAAGCAGAAGGTGGCAATCCTGCAAGATTAGGAGGGTAACATGACAATCTTATTTACTGCGCCCTTCTTCTTGATATCCACAAGAACAACAATTTCTTTCATACATTTGGTACAAATACAATCAACTAATGTCTCTCAACTCGCCATCGGAACTTGGTTTTATAAAAGCATTAGAGCACTTTTGAGTTTTCACTTCTCTTCACTGTCTGCTGATGGTTACCATCACTATCCATTCTCACGTTAGCTTGTTTTTTTAAAAAATTTTATTATTCGTACTGTAAAAGAGTTATGTATGAAATTATTCTCTCTTGTAAAAGAATACCGTTACATTTTGAGTATAACAATATTTTAGTATTTTAATTTATCTTGAATGATATTGTTGAACCTTTAATTATGTATTCTTACTAATGTATATCATTTACTAAAAACAATTGAAAATATTTTGCAAAAAATTTATATATTGATGCTAAACTATGGATTGTTAGCTACGATATATAAATTTTTGTAGCTAGAGATGATCGTGGCAAATTCTTCAGTTTATTGCTACGAAATTATGGAATTCACAGCTAAAAATATGAATCCTTAGCTACAATATAAAAATTATTGTGGCAAATACTTTAATTTATTGCTATGAACTTTTGAATTCATAGCTAAACATAAGTACTATTGCCACGAGAGTAAATTATAAATTTAGCCACAAAAGTTGAGCTTGCATGGCAAATAAATTAAATCTTTTGCTACAACACAAAATCTTGTTGCTACAATATGAAAATAGCTAAAAAAAATTATTTGTCGTGGCAAAAGAATAAAATCACATGCTACAGGTATAGTTTTTGTGACAAGAAATTTTTACCATCATAGCTACAACATAAAAAGAATTCGTGGCAATAAGTATTAGTCTTTAGCCACGGATCATGTAAAGTTTGTAGCTAACTTTTAGCTATGCTACATTTTCTACGAAAGCTACAGAAAAAAAAAATATTGTGGCTAAAGTGTGTTGCCACGAAAATTTTCATATTTAGCTACAATGTATTTCGTAGCTATAGATGCATTATGTTGTAGTGTATGCTTCGTGAGTGTGTGATGGAGTTTGGGGGTTCTTGGGATTATTTCTTGCCCCTTGTGAAGTTTGCCTATAACAACATTTATCAGTCCAGCATTCAAATGGCACTGTATGAGGCTTTGTATGGTAGGCGGTGTCGGTCCCCAGTGGGTTGGTTCGGGTCGGGTGAGGCCAGATTATTGGAGACAAACTTGGTTCAGGATGCCTTGGAAAATGTTAAGGTGATTCAGGATAGACTTCACACAGCCCAGTCCAGACAGAAGAGTTATGCGGATTGGAAGATTTGCGATGTGGAATTCATGGTCAGAGAGCGGGTCCTGCTCCGGGTTTTGCCTATGAAAGGCGTTATGAGGTTCGGAAAGAAGGGCAAGCTGAGCCCAAGGTTTATTAGTCCCTTTGAGATGTTGTGGCGTATTGGGAAGGTTGCTTATGAGCTTGACTTACCTTACAGCCTAGCACGAGTTCATTCGGTATTTCATGTTTCGATGCTCTAGATATATCACGGCGATCCGTCTCACGTGTTTCATTTCAATTCAGTCTAGTTAGACAAGGATCTATCCTATGTTGAGGAGCCAGTGATAATTATGGACTGGCAGGTTCGAAAGTTGAGGTCAAAGAACATTGCATCAGTTAAGGTTCAGTAGCGGGGTCAGCCCGTCGAGGAGGCGACTTGGGAGATCGAGCAGGATATGCGCAGCTGATATCCTCATTATTTTACTACTTTAGGTATATTTTTATGCTTATTCGAGGACGAACGATTATTTTAAGAGGGGCAGGATTTAACGACCCGGTTGGTCGTTTTGATAATTATAGCCCCATCCCCTATTAATTGCTTCCCTCGTATCTATTTCTAATAGTGTGACTTGCTGGGAGATTTTATTTTGGTTTTTTGAGTGTTTTGGGACACAGTCCCTAAATGGAGGCTTAGTCTTAGGATTTGGAACGTAGTCAGAACTATATGAAGACGACTCCAAAATGGAATTCCGTCGATTCCGTTAGATCCGGTGGGTGATTTTGGGCTTAGAGGAATGTTCAGATTGTATTTTGGAGGTTTGTAGCTTATTTAGGCTAAATACAATCCTAAATAAGCTACAGACCTCCAAAATACAATCCGAATATGCCCCTAAGCCCAAAATCACCCACCGGATCTAACGGAATTGACGAAACTCCATTCCGGAGCCATCTTCACACAGTTCTGACTACGGTCCAAATCCTAAGACCAAGCCTCCATTTAGGGATTGTGTCCCAAAACACTCCAAAAATCAAAATGAAACCTCCCAGCAAGTCACACTAGTAGAAATAGATACGAGGGAAGCAATTAATAGGGGATGGGGCTATAATTATCAAAACGACCAACCGGGTCGTTAAATCCTGCCCCTCTTAAAATAATCGTTCGTCCTGGAATGAGCATAGATACATATCTAAAGTGGTAAAAAAGATGAGGATAACGGCTGTGCATATCCTGCTCGGTCTCCCAAGTAGCCTCCTCGATGGGCTGACCCCGCCACTGAACCTTCACTGATCCAATGCTCATTGACCTCAGCTTTTGAACCTGCCTGTCCAAAATAGCTATTGGCTCCTCAACATAAGATAAATCCTTGTCCAACTGGACTGAACAAAAACCCAACACGTGAGACAGATCATTGTGATATCTTTGGAGCATCGAAATATGAAATACCGAATGAACTCCTGCTAGGCTGGGAGGTAAGTCAAGCTCATAAGCAACCTCCCCAATATGCCGCAATACCTCAAAGGGACCAATAAACCTTGGGCTCAGCTTGCCCTTCTTTCCGAACATCATAATGCCTTTCACAAGCAAAACCTAGAGCAGGACCTGCTCTCCGACAATTAATGAAACATCGCGAATCTTCCAATCCGCATAACTCTTATGTCTGGACTAGACTGTGCGAAGTCTATCCTGAATCACCTTAACCTTCTCCAGAGCATCCTGAACCAAGTCTGTGTCCAATAATCTAGCCTCGCGCGGCTCGAACCAATCCATTAGGGACTGACACCGCCTACCACACAGAGCCTCATACAGTGCCATCTGAATGCTGGACTAATAACTGTTATTGTAGGCAAACTTCATAAGGGGCAAGAACTGATCCCAAAAAACTCCAAACTCCATCACACACTCACGGAGCATATTCTCTAAAATCTGAATAGTGCACTCGGACTGCCCGTCTATCTGAGGGTGAAATGTTGTACTCAACTCCACCCGAGTACCTAACTCTTATTGTACGACCTTCCACAACTGTGATGTAAATTGCGTACCCTGGTCAGAGATGATAGATACCAGCACGCCATGAAGTTTGACAATCTCGCAGATATAAACTCGAGCCAGCTACTCGGAGGAATACCTGGTCATCATAGGAAGGAAATAAGCTGACTTGGTCAGCCTATCCACAATCACACATACTGCCTCAAACTTTCACCGAGTCCGTGGGAGTCCAACAACGAAATCTATAGTGATCCGCCCCCATTTCCACTCCGGAATCTCTAACTTCTGAAGCAATCCACCCGGTCGCTGATGCTCATACTTTACTTGTTGGCAATTTAGACACCAGGCTACATATTCTGCTATGTCCTTCTTCATTCTACGCCACCAATAATGTTGCCTTAAGTCCTAGTACATATTCGTGGCACCCGGATGAATGGACTACCGCGAGTTGTGAGCCTCTTGAAGAATCAACTCACGCAACCTGTCTACATTAGGCATACATAGCCTTCCCTGCATCCTCAAAGCACCATCCTCCCCAATAGTGATCTCCTTAGCATCACCATGCTGAACCGTGTCCTTAAGGACGAGCAGATTGGGGTTATCATACTGACTCTCCTTGATACGATTATAAAGAGAAGACTGGAGAACACACAAGACAAAACTTGACTCGGCTAAAAATTATCCAATCTAATAAACTGGTTGGATAAGGCCTGAACATCCAGTGCCAATGGCCTCTCTACTACTAGCAAATATGCTAATCTCCCCAAACTCCCTGCCCTACGACTGAAGGCATCGACCACCATATTGGCCTTCCTGGGATGGTATAGAATTGTGATATCATAGTCCTTAAGCAGCTCTAACCACCTTCGCTGACGCAAGTTAAGATCCTTCTGCTTGAACAGATGTTGCAAACTCGGGTGATCAGTGTAGACTCACAAAGGACACCGAACAGATAGTGCCTCCAAATCTTCAAGGCATGAACAATAGCTGCTAACTCAAGATTGTGGACAGGATAGTTCTTAATGCACCTTCAGATTTCTGGATGTGTAGGCAATCACCCTACGGTCCTGCATCAACACTGTGCTAAGCCCAACTCGCGACGCATCACAATAAACAGTATAAAACCCGAACCTGTAGGCAATACCAATACTGGGGCTGCAGTCAATGTTATCTTGAGCTTTTGAAAGCTCTCCTCACACTCCTCTGTCCACCTGAACGGAGCACCCTTCTGGGTCAGCCTGATCATAGGTGCTACAATAGATGAGAATCCCTCGACACGTCAACACTAATAACCCGCCAAACCAAGAAAACTTCGAATCTCTGTAGCTGAGGACGGTTTGGGCTAGCTCTACACTGCTTCCACCTTCTTTGAATCTACCTTTATCCCTTTACATGACACTACGTGACCCAAAATGCCATGGAATCTAACAAGAACTCACATTTTGAGAACTTTGCATATAATCTCTTCTCTCTCAAGGTCTGAAGCATAATCCTCAGGTGCTGCTCATGAGCTTCTCGACTCCAGGAGTACACCAGAATGTCGTCAATAAAGACAATGATGAATGAGTCAAGATAGGGTCGAAATACAATGTGCATCAAATACATAAATATTGCTGGGGCATTTGTCATCCCGAATGACATCACAAGGAACTCGTAATGACCATATAGAATCCTGAAAGTAGTCTTCGGGATATATGGCTCCTGAATCTTCAATTGATGATAACCTGAATGCAAATCAATTTTCGAAAACACTCGGGCACCCTATAACTGATCAAATAGGTCATCAATACGAGGCAAAAGATACCGATTCTTGACTGTGACTTTGTTCAACTAGCGATAATCAATGCACATTCGCATAGAACCTCCTTTTTCTTCACAAACAAGACAGGAGCAACCCAAGGTGACACATTGAGATGAATAAAGCCCTTATCAAGCAATTCTTGTAACCGTTTCTTCAACTCAGAATGGGCCATATGATAAGGAGGAATAGAGATAGGCTGAGTTCCTGGCAACAAATCAATACCAAAGTCGA